AAAAAAAAAAAAAAGGCAACAGAAACTAGTGCCAGTTGGCTTAAACAGAACAGGGAGGTCTGGTTGAAGGTAACTGAAAATTCTAAAATAGATTTGATAGCTGTCTTCAGGCATGGCTCCATCCAGGGGTTTGTGCGCATAAAGAATCTATCTCCATCTCTCAGCTCCACGTCCTTCCCTGGTGGCTCTGTTGTCAGGCAGACTTTTCCTTCCAGGGGATAGCCTCCGGGGAAAGAAATGGATCTTTTTGTTTCTTCTCTCTGTTTTAAGATCCCTAGTCCCATTTGGCCTAGGTAGCAGGATAGCCCCCTGAGCTCCCCACTTATCTTCTATCAGGTTAGCACTCCCAGGGCTTGGGGCAGGACCTGTCCAGGAACTATTCACTGTGGCCTGGGAGGTAGGATGTTCTAATTGCCTAACATCAAATGCCCACCCTTCAAGCTTGGGGCAGGTCTGTTCCACTCAATCCAAGTGGACTGACGGAGGCAGAGGAGTTTTCCAGGATGCTGTTGTGAGGGGAGGTGCTGGATGCTGAGCAGGGAGAAACAGTTGGTGGCGTTTACAACATCCTTACCATTCCATACCTTATTGGATGCATTACCACTTACAAAGTACCATACTATTCCACCCTTTAATTCTCAAAGCAACCCTGTGAGGAGTCTCATTATGAATAGTTCATAGTTAAATAGGCCAAGGATCAGAGAGGTTTTGTGACTTGCCTAAGTCACACAGGAAGTGGGACCTGAACCAAGATCTTCTGACTCTAAATCCACTAGATTTTCTTTTGCTCTCCATAATTGCTGTCTCGTGCTCACTTTGGCAGCATACACGCTAAAAAAAGAAAAAAAAAATTAAATAAATGGAACCATAATTGCTGTCTCAAAATGAGAGTGGACGGTGGAGTTGGGAATTGATTTGAAGTAGTGAAAAAAGGCCAAATGGGACTAGGGATCTTAAAACAGAGAGAAGAAACAAAAGATACATTTCTTTCCCCAGAGGCCCAGATACACCTAATTCCCCATCTCATTTGCTTACCTTGTTTCTGTTTCCCCTACAGAGCCCCCAACCTCTAATAATAGTGAATGCTAGTGCTTTAAAACAGGGAAATGTGTGAAAATCATTCTAGGCAGCCCCCATCCCTTAAACCATCTCCACCGTGTGACTTTACTCCATGGTAGAAGCCCCTGGGAGAGAAGCTTCCACGGCCCCCTTAGTCTACCATTGTAAGCCCAACTCCTGCTGACCTCACACCTCAGAGAAGATTTTGGCCAGCTATGAGTTTGGCATGCAAAACTCCCCTGGAAAAAACTTTAAATAGTAAAATGGAACAAAATAAACATTATCTGAGAGATTCGGTTCTCTTCTTAAAGCTTGTGTTTCTTTTTAGGGTGGTTATACTGCTGGATATCTCTGTGACCAATTCCATGTACATTATTCATATCCAGCACTCCCTGCGACTTCTGCTGGAAGAACAATTGTCCAACAAGGACTGCTTCAACATCATCGCGTAGGTTCCTAGTTCCCAGTGGGGGTGCTGGGGGCAGGGGCTGCCTGTGGTCTGTGCCATCGCTGGGCTGAGGTTCCTGGCAGGTAGCTAGATGACATCTCACCAGCACCCAGCATCCTAGGATGGCCATCAGTTTATCTGACTTGAATCATCTTGTTTGGGGTATTGAATAATTAAATGGTTGCAGGACAGTCCCACTGGGGCGAAGGTGATAAGTGGCCCCCAAACACACTGCTCGATCAGCCAAGATAAAGTAACTCAGCCCATTGCCCCATTTGGATTCTGAGCTGATAAACACAAAAAAGAGAAAGAAGGGCCCCCAGGCATGCCCCAGTGTTAGGTCCCAATTCAGGTCAAGCAAGCCACAGTATGTCAAACATTTAAGATTCCAATTCCAAATGCTAATTATATAGATTTATATATATAACTATATA